GATGTGGGGGTCTTCCATTTTGTAGATGGGGCCTGTCCATCGCAGCTGTTACTGCATCATGATTGTGTGAATTCTTTGCAGGCCCGCTCTTTTGATCACGTAAAACAAGATACAACTCACTAAAATGAATTACTTTCTGACACGTCTGTCGTCTCTTCCCCCTTCTTTCAACTTACACACCATTAAGTATTAACTTAAACTATGACAGACCACCTGATGGCTTCATCAGAATCTGCCCACCTTCACTCAAGATTACACCAGAAACACGCATACAAAGTACATAACACTTACGAACTGTGGTAGAAATGAACTGTACAAACCTTTCACCAGATAGTCAGACAGAGTGAACTGATATAAGCTTTGTAAAGCATGAATTACAACACATGCTACAAGCTATCATCATAATGGTAAACTATGAAACTATTACATGAAAAAAATATTTTCTTTGTTTTTCATGCTCAGATTATTAAGGTATACAAAGTCAATGTACATACCGGGTATTTTTAGAATTTTATTTAGTTAGCATTTAGGGTTTTGAAGACGCCCCTGAGTCTATCCAACTCTAAAGAAGGCGGTTGGTCATGGTGCTGGCTACATGACACCCTATTTAACTATGGGCCGCAGAAACAGAGAGCCTTCACACCAGCTGCCCATATATCTCAAGGTCTGAAAAGGTTACTTTATGTTTACTATATCGACCTTTGGAAACATTTTTTTTCTTCTTCCTTTCAGCTGTGAGGGGTACCAAAGGTTTTGCCGATGGGGAACACTACTGGGAGATTGTCTTTCTGGAACCTCCGATTGGAACATCTGTGATGATTGGGGTCGGCACAAGGAAGGCCCAGTTGAAATCCAAGCACTATCAGTACATACATCTTCTAGGTAAAAATCGTGCCTAATTAGGGTTATGATTGAGAACGCAGTCAAAGTTAGAGATTAAACCAGATCAGCATGTAATTGTGGAAAAAGTTAGGTGTTGAGGTGAAGGCCGCCGACTTTGCAATGCTTCCGAGCACGCAATGCTAAATATACATCCAGGGGTACGGGAAGACTTTGGAGGGGGAATTCTTTTTTAATGCCCACTTATTATGTTCTGTTAATGAATTAAAATGAGGTGTTTGGGAGGGGGGGGGCGAGTGATACATAGCTTTACAAAAATTATACTAGGGGACACAGGTTAAAAGTTTGCGAAACAATGTAAATGTAAATTTTAGTTCAGGGCTGTAGGCCTATGTATTATTGCAACATTACTTTTTAGTCCTCGGTCCTGGAGTGTCTCTATATTTGGGGATTTGACTTTTGGTGTTACAACACTAATTACTTGTTGAACTGGTAAACACATTGGTTATAAACAAATAATAGTTATATGATGAAGGCCATTTCTAAATAGAAAGTTTAGTAAAGCTGATCTAATCATTGTTTAACACATTAGTAGGTTTAGATTTCTCCAGTAATGTCTGTATATACTTTCCATTCTGCCAGGTAAAGATAAAGAAAGCTGGGGTCTGTCTTACAAAGGATTCATCTGGCATAATGGAATCAGCAAACGTTACTGTGACCCATTCTACGAGCGGTCCACGGTCATTGGCGTACTGCTCAACAGATACAAGGGCACGCTCTCTTTCTTCAAGAATGGCGTGAGCTTGGGAGAGGCTTTCACCGGTTTGAACGCTGTCAAGGAGCCTCTGTATCCCTTGATTAGCTCCTCGGCCACCCAGACTGAACTCGAGTTGGGAGCTAGGACATGCCGCTACGTGACCTTACAGGAGAAATGCTTTTCAAAAATACGCAACAGTTTACAGGACACTGATTCTATTGATAATCTCCCTTTGCCTAGATTAATGAAACTTCACTTAAAGATGCTTTAAGATGATCTCCCTTTGCCTAGAAAAAGTGAAACTTCTTCTGATGGTGCTTTAGAATAATAAAATCTAGAAAAAAAAAATATTTTTTATGTACCGGTACTATGGAAAAATAAAAATTCCAATAGACATACTCATGGGGACCCTGTTGTATCAAATTACTTTCCTATATGTATTGCTATTGTATTTTTTTCTATGCAGTAGTTCAACACTGCAGCAGTAAATCCTTTTAGGTACCATGGATCAAAACTTGCCATGCTATTTTACACATTATGCATAATACCTGTAAACATAGTGTATCAACCATACACCTAAATTTGTATTTGCTATATAATAAACCCACCTTGCATTTGATCTTGTTTTGTTCGGTTATAAAATATGCACCAAGTAGTGTAAAGATGGTAAATCCATTCGTCCCAGTGGCGCTACAGCCAATGGAGGGCCCAGGCCTGCTCTGGCACATCTCTCCATTCTGATCTATCCTGGGCTTTACGTCTCCAGGCCTGGACTTTGAGCTGTTGTAGATCTGCCTCTACGTCATCAAGCCACCGTGCTCGTGGTCTGCATTTGGAGCGTCTGCTTTTTGGTTTTTGCCAGTGAACTATCTTTGCTCCTCTGTTCTCTGACATTCTTTCAAGGTGACCTGCCCAACGTAATCTGTTTCTTTTTATTTCAGTCACTATGGAGGGGTCTTCATACAGCTGATATATTTCTGGATTGGTGCGAATCCTCATTCCGGTTTAACAATTAGCCTATGCATTTAGACTGGCAAAAGGTAGTTATAGACCATGCAATTTAATCTTATAAAGACCTTGTAAATAAACTACAATTGTCTTCAAAATGTGACGTTATAGTAGCGAATGTAGTAGATAATGTTTTTACTGTGCTAAATAAATTGTGCCATATTTGTTCTTTTGTGATCATGTTTTTTTTATGGAGTATTCTCAAATTTCATAACACCATATAAAAAGCCTATATCATATATCAATGATAAGTATAATAGTTTACTATGCATATATTAGCATATATGCATATTTATAGATCATTTTCTTATAGAATCTACTCTTATAATAAAAAAAAGGTTCTATATCATGTATATATTTCTTAATAATCTTATGTGTTGCCAAACGTTAATTCTACCACTTTAAAAACGTTTATTTTAATAATATGTTTATTTTACAAACTGCAGTTAGCAAATCTGAACAGTGATTACGTTTTGTTAAGAAATCCAAAATGCTCTCATCTCATGTTGATATTTGTATAATTCACTTGGTCTTTCATTTATATTTCTAAATAATGAGGCTCGTCTTCGAGTCTGAAGATTACTGATGAGCAGTGGCGTAGCATCCACAGCGCGAAGGGGTTCAATGAACCAGGGCCTATGACGTAACAACCATGGGACCCTGGCCGGGTGTAACACTATGCAGCACAAGCTCTAGCTTAGGGCCTCCAAGAAATATTTAGTAGTTGTATATAATATATAGGCGCGGTGGCTGAGTAGTAAAGTGCTTGACTTTCGAACCGGGGTTCGGGGTTCTAATCCTGGTCAGGACTGGAATTTTTAATTTCGGGTAATTTGGGCGCCCCTGAATCCACTTAGCTCTAATGGGTACTTGACTTTAGTTGGGAAAAGTAAGGCGCTTGGTCGTTGTGCTGGCCACATGACACCCTCGTTATACGAGCTTTATATCATCTGTCCCATAGACCACAAGGTCTGAAAAGGGAACTTTACTTTATTTAATATATAATATCTGGACTTATATGGGGCCCATATTTCAAATAGCTTAAGGCCTTTTCAGCTCTAACTAGGGCACTCCATGGCGCATAGGGTTCTCATTGCGCTTGGGCCGATGACTAATAGCCGAATGAGGCTTAGAATATCCTAAACATACAAACTACTCGATTTCTTAGTTACACAAAGGCCATCAAAATATTCTTGAACCTGGGCCCACGGGTACCCTGCTACCCTGATGAGAGCAGTACTTCATGTGCCTCAGCTGCCACCGACATATTTCTTTATACTTATAGTAAGAAAAAAAAGCAAATCCTATTTATTTTCTTTTACTGTGTATTTCATAAACCCTTAGAAAATGATGTTGTTTTTCTATCTAATTAATTTTCTAATGGACCTCATTTACCAATCGTAAACAAACAACATTAAGCCACGTGATTCTCTATCTCTCCTATACCAATTACGAACTAATTTTAATCAACAATGATTATCACGTGACAGTTTGTTTTCGTTGTTTTATCAATATTATCACGTGCCCGTTAGTTTTGGTGAATGAGGTCCATTATTTTTATTAATTGTTTTCAAAAATTGTTAAATGTTTCTGTTGGCTTGTAACACTAAGACCTATGATAGGTCACAAATGCTTCGCTCTACTTTGCCAAGTAGATAGAATTTGAGGTCTCTGAAATGTAATGATTTTATGATCAATTGAAATGTGCATTCACCAGACTACTTGATAAACTAAAGACATCTTTCTGGTTTTGCAAGGTTGTCATTGCCGGAAGTTGTAATAGATATAAGCACTTCACTACCTATAAAATGCTTCCTAATGGCATGCGTCTCAAAAAGCCTCTAACCTCCAGTTTAATTTCTGGCCTTCACGTGTGCCTCAGATATTGAGTCCGGCGAAAGTGTTTTCACTGAAAGGAAAAGGGGCGAAAGCGAGTAACTGGCGCCTAAACCAGCAAGCTTCATGCAGGAGGGGCACTGCATCTCATTTGCAGTTCCTTTGGACACATCAGCTGCTTGGGGAGGGGGAAACTGATGCCCAGGCATTCATCTAATTTCCATGAGATGATCCATAGTCGCGACTGAAGGAGGTTACAATAAAGACATCTATTAAGTCATATCTCTACCCACACAATCCACCCATCCATCTAATCTTTTTTAATAGTTCGCAGAACATGAATAACTGCTCCATGAGCCCTCTGTAAAAAATTAGTTTAGGCTCATAATGTACATGTTAATTTTTTTTTTAATTTACTTTCTGGAAAATATATTCGTAAACAATTGTTCTCCAGGTAATGTTTTCCTTATGTTCGTAATAATTTGTTACCTTGTTTCTGTACCTTATGTTGCCAACTCTGATTCTGTCATTCTTGTGATACTGTTGAAAATAAATAAAGAAAAAAAAAAATTTCCGTAAAAAAAAATTGTTTCCTTTGGTTAAGTGTACTATAGTATTGTTGTGGCACTACAGTTTACGCAATTATATGAAAAAAAAGCTTCTTATTAATTGTAGTTTTAAATTATGTGTAACTTATATGCATACTAAATAGATTTTTCTCTTTAAAAAAATAATAAAAAATTTTTGTGTGTAAATTTAGTAATTAGTATAACAAAACTTACATAACTTAACAATAAAAATGTAAAAAAAATAATTGTTTTTTACAAAAATTCTACATTCGTTTGCATAAATGTAGTATACCGTTGCCCCTCCTAGTAAAGAGTCTCCAGTGTTTGTTACTATTAATAGTGAATAGTTGTAAAAGTGGTGTATTATTAATGAAAAAACTGCTTGCATAAGTGATTTAAAAAAATAGATTTTTCGCTTTCAGAAAACAAAAAGTAGCCGTTGCATCAGAACTTTCAATGGTCGAAAATATTATGATGTCGGATTTTCTAGTTTACGACATCTAAACGGGACGGACGGACAGACATTCCACTCAAAACTAATAACGTCTTTTCCCCTATCGGAGGCCGCTAAAAAACGAGACATTAAGTAACACTAACAGTTGCGAAAAAGTGTCACTGGATAGGTCCACATAGAGGGCGAGAATAAATGAAAGATTAAATATTTTTTTTCTCCACATAATAATAATGTCTAAGCAATGTCAAAGTGCAATATAAGGTAAAATTATGTTTTTGTTTGTTGTTTTTTTTCCCATAATATTACGGTATACACCAATTGAATTTTCATGAAAAAATAGTATAAATATACAGTACAATTACAATCTTTGTTAGATCTATCCATGTCTTCTCAAATTCAAATCTTTAAATAGAACATGATTTAAATTTAGTCGCTATTAAAATGAAAGAAATTGATTTCATTGGTGGGTGTGTACTTTATACTAAAAGTCGTAGGTCAGTGTTGAGGCCATAATGAGTGGTTTCGGCTAGGTTCGCTAACCCGTCGTCTGCTTCCACTCACCTGAGATGAGCGAGTGGGAACATATCAGGAAGGAATAGTCCTCCCATAGTGCCCTGGCAAGAAACTGGGCCTCGTAGCTACTATACAAGTCGAGTGACTGCCCAGACACGTTCCCCGTTAGCTCTCGGAGTACAAAATATGTGAAACTGTTTCGACGCTCTCCACAGCGACGGCATCGGGAGTCGAAGTTTTGAAGGGACAGTGCAAAGTATGCCCCAATAAGACAGTGTTCCGTCCTGTACTGCGCAATGATTGCCTGGTCTGAAATTCCTCAACCGCCGCTTCCACTGACAGAGGCCCCACGGGATCTGGAATCCTCAGCGGATGCCATTATTATTATTATTTATTATTATAGCTTTTATATAGCGCTACTTTCATGCTTATAGCATGCTCAGAGCACTTTGGTCCAATCTCATTTGTGGACCGGTGGGGGGGGGGGGGGAGGGGGGTATCTAGGGGTTGGTTTTCCGTGCTGCCTTTAGGCGATTTAGGTGCTCAGTAAACGCAACTCTGCCCTAGTCGGGTGTCGAACCTCGAGCCCCCTTCTAGGTAGCCAAGACAAGCTAAGTTCAAGCGCTTACCATGCCATACCAGATTGGGCATTATAGGCCACACATGATGGGATTATTCTCAAACTCTAGCGTAATAGTCGTTACATTACTGCATAAAATCTCTTAAAAACACCTCAAAACTTTGAATACTAAAGTGATACACACTGGTGTATACATTTATTATACATACATTTTGTAAGTTCTGTATTTTCGTTTGGGCTTAGAAAGTTACAAACCCACGCATGTTGAAAGATCAAACTCTACAATGAATGACTGAGATAAAAAAGTTTGAAATTATGGTCGACCTTCACCTTGTTTTCCTGAAGTGAACTGTCAAACAAATATGGTGATTGTTTCACAACCAGGGAATTTATAACGTCAAGTTCCTGCGACCACAAGCTACGTGAAGATAATCACAATATCGACCAGTGGTATGGCTGTTACAAACAGGCACACTCACTCACACACACTCACTCACACACACAAACTTACGCACAGACACACATACAAGTAATAACGTCATATAAACTTGAGAATGTTTAAAGGAAGCTTTCATTAAACCCAATTATTTCAAGATAATGAAATGTCAATACAGCCTGAGTATAAACACGAATACTTAAGTCCGTGTATAGCATATAAATGCAAAAGACTGACAAAAGGGTGACTACAAAAGAAATTTACAAATTGAAAACAGAGTAAATTAATCCTGCACAAATACAGAAGATGTATTAGACCGGTAAAAATACAGAAAAATAGGTATAGTTCACAAATATAGAAGACTAGATATGGTTCAAAAACTGAAGCCTGTACAACGACCAACCGCCTTTACTTTTCCCCAACTAATGTCAGGTACCCAATAGAGCTGGCCACCTCGCCTCCTACCTCTTATACTGGGATAGGCCTATTTTGACCAACAAAACGGTGGAATTTAATCGCACTGATTTTTCATTTCGGGATCCTTATGGCCCCTCTGAGTCCACCCAGCCCTAATGGGTACACGAATTTGAGGAAAAGTAAAGGCGGTTGGTTGTTGTGCTGGCCACATGACACCCTCGTTAACCTTGGCCACAGACACAGATGACATATATCTGCCCGGATCGCAAGGTCTGAAAGGGGAAACTTTACTTACATTTTATCTTATAGAAGTGATTATCATTACTCTTTACTATAATAATGATAATAAATATAATTTTTGCTCTGTCTTCTATAAATAAACACTGTATGTTATTTTCACTGAAACACCATTAGGTGTCTATTATTTTTACAATAATTAGTTTCTATGTTTCTGACAACTGAATCTCGTTGCAAAGTATTGTTACAGACCCGTTTCACAAAGCATTATTTCTGACACGCCTAACAATGTAGGCTTATTATTGCTTCAAAGCCTCACAATTGTTACGAAAATACGAATGTCGTTAAAATAGCCAACTCGAATGTCGTTAAAATAGCCACCTCCCAACCGCACGTGCCAGCGTTGGGGCTCAAGGAGTCTAGAGTGGGAGAGCACTGATATATTACCACCTCGTATGCCCCTCCCTCACTACTTGCTACAGCTGATGCATGCTGGAACGTGGGGAAAAAATTCTAAGAAGATAAAAAAATGAAATCTTGAATCGTGCTCGGTGGCTTTGTCCAGACGATTACTTGTATAATTGAAAACTGACGAAACAGATGATAAGAGACGAATCATTGTGCAAGTCGTCAAGGGATATTCTTGGAACATGTAACAAAACCGTGAGTTGTCCTTGTTTAATATTCTATGTAGAACAAGAAGATATTTTTAAAATTTATATTAGTTTAAAAACAGAAAGATAAGTACCATATACCTTTGTCTATACAAATAAATAAATAAATATTTATATTGTATTTATTTATTTATTAACAAAAATATAAAAAGTTGACTAAAACAACAATATACCCTGTTGTACTATCAACGGGGTAAACAACGGAACTTGCTGACACACTTGAGGCAACTTGCACATAAATTAGAAAGCATCGGGCAGGAGGAGGCTCGTCAACCTTAATTGGCTACCCAGCTTTGATCAGGAAAACTTCATCTTATCTTATATAATACAGACGTTACTTCAAAAAAGAATATGATAACGTCTTACGCGTCGTGCATTTAGTTATGCATATTAACCAATGACTTAAATTCTGCCAAGTCACTGGTTTTCCTGGATGTCTCATGCAACCCATTCCATGCTCTAATAGCACTAGGGAAGAAAGAGTATTTGTACAAATTTGTCCTAGCATATGGAACGAGGAAAGTGCCTTTATCTTTGTGTCTTTCTGAGTATTTTAGCAGGAGCTGTTCTAAAGTGGCTTGGATCCTACCTGACGGAACGCACCCAAAGTGTCGTTGTTAGCGGGACGGAATCAACAACCTTACTTTTGAAGTACGGAGTATCCCAAGGATCAGTTCTAGGCCCAGTACTGTTCACTATGTACACGTATCCACTCAGCGGTGTCATACGGCCAACCGGTATCTTATACCATTTCTTTGCCGATTACTCACAGTTATACGATTCATCAGTACCCTCAGAGGTGTCGCATCTGGCAAGTAGTACCGTTGCAAGGGTGAGCGATTGGATGGTTGAAAATAAACTCAAGATGAAAGAAGACAAGACAGAAATGATTAAGATTGGCACTAGGAACAATGTCTCAAAAGTTGAAAGCACAGATTCTCTCTTTATCACTAACTGTCATGTTCCTTATGTCCATGTAGTGCGGAATCTTGGAGTTTTCTTCGACTCAACACTATCTTTCGACCCACACATAAGTCAGCTCTGCAAAGGTCTTTAACTGCAGCTGCGTAGATTAGGCCAGATCCGACCATATTTAACAACGGAGTCAACAGAAACGCTAGCTGTGGCATTCATACTCTCCCACCTTGACTACTGCAACGCCGTGATAGCAGGTATACCTGATGACAAAATAGCCAAGCTGCAACGTATACAGAACAACGCCGCTCGAATAGTCCTTAAAAAAACTAGACAAGATTCTGCTACTATGCTCTTGCGCACGCTCCATTGGCTTCCCGTGAAAGCGAGAATCGATTACAAGGTCGCCACACTTTGTCATCAGTGTATATATAACAACGAGATGCCCTTGTACCTTAGCAAACTGATTACTCCATATGTACCCCAGAGAGCCCTGCGCTCAATGGACTCAACGCTTTTAGTAGTGCCACGTTTCTCCCTCAAAAGCTACGGTCTGCGGGCTTTTTCAGTTCACGGACCAAAGGTTTGGAACTCACTCCCCATTGATCTCAGACAGACAACATGCTACACCACTTTTAAGAAGAACATTCAGACCTATCTGTTTAAAACTTTTTTAGATTAACTGTCATTGTAGCTGTCGTGTTTGTGTTTGTAATGTTGTTACAGCGCCTTGAGCCTACATTTTGTTTGTTAACAGCGCTTTATAAATAAATTATTATTATTATTATTATTATTATTTTACTAGATTTTGTTTGTGTATTTATGTTTTATGTATAATTGCTACTTTACTTTTGAGTCTTCTGTCCTGAAGGCTTTCTAAATTTAGTGATTTTACTAAAGGTGTTACTCTAGTCAAATGTGAATATTCGTTTGTTATGAATCTCACTGCTCTATTTTTTGTGTCTATTCCAGTTTCTTAATGTT